ATCCATGGTCCATTTGTTCCTTACTGATTTTTCCAAAGTATTCTTCTTTTCTTTCCAGTACAGAAGTTATACTAATGCAGAGATACTGAAAGTGCAAATTGAAAACAGTTAGCTAAATAGTTTCATCATTTACTGTGAACATAAAACGATCTGTTCTTTTCTGTGTTCTTTCAGTCAATAACATTTTCCATTTTGTGACAAACTCCACCTGCAGTGTTAGGGCACCTAACAGGGAAATGGCCTTTTTTTCATTTATTTTCCTTTCTTGTGTAACTTACCAATTAATAAAAAGAGTGACTCCTCAATAAAGACCATCTAACAGTTGTCAAGGAAGCCACAGACCAGATAATTTGTCATTTTTGAGAGTAATTAAATTTCTAGAATAAAATGTTCCATTTTATAACAGGTCAACTTGACTACACAGAAAGATTTAAAGCCCAGGCTGGTCTATAGCCCTTGGTTCAGTACAAATCACACCTTCAAGAACAGGTAAAAAGGTTTAAGCAATTAACCAGGCACTGATTTTTCAAGGAATAATGAATTTTCTTGTTCTGGAGTTAGACTCTTAAGCATGAACAGGAGAGGAAATGCAGGTTGTATTTCGTTTGTTAATCTAAGAATTCAAACAAAACTTCTTAGCCCAGATTCTGGAGCTGCAAGTGGTGGGACTTGTATTCCTAACTCCTTCAGTTCCTCTAGGAAACTGCATAAGCTCCTCAGCCATGCACTACTTCCCTAATTATCATTTCCCAGTGCTGGGAGCTTGAAGTTTTCTTCGGAGAAATTTTCGTTGTCCCACTAACTTTAATGAAGTCTGGAATGCTAGAAAGCATGATCCTCTTTCCAAGTCAGCTAAGAGTCTGTGACATCTTTAAAACAAATAACAAATAGGACAAGAGACTGGAATAGATTTTCATGTCCCCAAAGAAACATATATAATATCTATTGCTCTGTTTATAGAAAGCAGCAAATTATTCCCCAGAGTTTGTTCAGTTGAGCCCAGAGCCAAAAATGCAAACCACGTACAGCACTGAAACTCTGCCTTCTCTTTGGCCAGGCTGATGCAGTGAGGTGCTCCTGCAGTTAGCAGCATCAACCTGATGGTCTTCAGCAATTGATTCTAATATTGCCCTGTAAATGAGGGTGACAGCAATGAAGCAGCTCAAAATAATGTCTTACCACATCCTTCCTAAGCACGTCGTGCCTAGCATGTAGGGATTGTTCTATTATTAGATATCTTTACAGGAAATAGCAAATAATTTACTCAAGTTGTTTGTCTCATTCTCTAAATTGATCAGTGGCCAAAGAGAGTGGAGTGTGTGCAGATGCACACTGGTAAATAGATGCTAAAAACAAACAAACAATATTCTAATAAATACTTCCTACAGTAGAGTTCATTAAAAACATTTTATTTCTGTCTTTCTGAATCAGAATCATGAAACTAGTGACAAAAAGCAGAAATTGTGGTTGTCTTGGTCACTGTTTCTGAGTATTTGAGGAACTACAAAAAGGCAGCATGGTAAAGCATGCTACCCTACATGCTGTGGTGTTGCAGGATATCAAAGGAATATTTAAAAGGAGTGAATATATTAAAAGCCTAACTGCTAATTTTACAAGTACAGCATAACATATTGTGATACTTTATATAATATCTAACCCACAAAAGAGACTGCTCTAGATTAATTCTCAGATTTTTCCTAAAGGTCTAAAAGAATATTCTCTGAGGTTATAAATATATTTCTGACTTGCTTTTGTCATATTTATTTGGTCAGAAACCACTCTATGACTGATTCATTCATGGGAGCCAGTGAAAATCTGAGTGTTGAAACATTTTGTAAATAAAATTATTTAGAACCAAATGCAGTCATCCCCTTTATTACTTGTGTATAGTACAAGCACGCACAAACTAAAGGCAGGCTCAACCCACAGTGAATTACTAAGAGAAAAATGTAAACCCCTCATATAAGAATTATACTGGAAGTTTACTATGTTTTTCTATCTCTGCTTTTTTTAAAAATAGTGATCTTTCTCTGTCTCATAATGATTCATGGCCCTGGGTACTGTGGTAATTTGCATTGAAGCACACATCTGAATTGCACAAAGCAGATTCCTGTAATGCTCTATAACTCACTTTGTGACTACATTTGTTTTAAACATCCTATCTACAAATATCCTATCTACAAATTTACACAAAAAACTAAAGATTTTATTTTACTAGATTTTTGTCAGCAAATGTGTCGCATTTTAACAAATTCTCTAAAACTATTTCTGATATAGTTATCCAGTTAAATCTTGAGAAAGATTAGATTTTTGTGTTTAATACTCTGACTTTGTACACTAAATATGTACATATCATTGTAGAGCTGTTGGATATTTTTCTAAGCAAGAGCTTGGAAATAATAAATGTTGCTTGCCTGTGAAGAAAACTTTCAAAGTTTCCACAGTACCCGACATTTGCAGCTACCACATATGCATAGGAAATTTATTTTGGATTAATTTACAGGGGCAAAAATATAAGCCACTAAAAAGCCCAGGTGAGATGCTGTCACTTTCCTCAGCCAGGACAGAGCCTTGTGCTTGGGTGGTGGCGTTGAGCAGGCTCCCAGCAGTGCCAGGTGCTCTCCAGTAAGGGGTGGTAGCATCTGCTTGTGAGAACCGGCCCTGGCTGTGCTTGGGCTGCCGGCGCTGGGACAAACCTCAGCGGAGAAAAAAGAACGGGGGAACTCTGTATGTAACAAATGCAGGAGGCACTGAACTGGATATTAATTTCCATATTTTGGGGTTGTTTGTTTTTGTTTTTTTTCTTTCTAAAAATGTGTTACAGCAATTGCTATAAGTTGAAGAGGAATCTGCACAACTTGTACGTAAAGCACTTGGAGTGCTTTGGAGCTGCTGCTACTAAACAACCCCTACAATGTCAGTCGTGTTGAATCATGCAGGAATTTTAGATCTTACTCTGGGATAGCAAATACTTTTTGTGGGTATACAGAAATGATGTTAAGCAATCTGTGTACTCGGAAGGTCCAGAAAATTTTGATGAAGTGATAAATTGAGTCCATCTGTTCTGAAACGACTCCATTTATGATCTCAGCAGAACAATGTATTTTCCATTTCCTGCAGTTTTTAAAATCTTGTTATCTAATCCAACTTCCAGTGAAGACAATTCTTTTTAACAATCATTTTACTGGAAGATCTTTCTCCTCTCTCCTAAGAAATGGTCTGAACAGCCTGTGCACTGCTTCCATCTGAATGCTCCTATAATTCTGAGTGCTTTTGGACACTATGTCCGAAACAGGAACAGGAAGGCCAAGGTATGATTAGGTCCCTTGGCCAAGACTGCACATAAAAGTGTTGCAGGGCAGGGTTCAGAGGAGCAGAGTTCAGCTCACTTGCTGCACAGTCCTGTGCCTCAGGTAAGTAACCACTTCTCCAGCTGTATTCCTTACTGTCTCATATTGCTGAAACTGGATTTAAATTCCTTTCCAAAATTCAACCTGAAATCATCCTAATGGCTGGGCAGTCTCAGACAACACATCCTTTCCTCTTTTCCCAGCAATGCTGGAACAGGAGCTCAGAGAGTCACAGAAAGCTGTCGTGCTTGTGCTGCGCTGCTGCTCCGTCTGAGAGTCAATTGAAGCATATCCCTCATTGAAGCCTACAGAGAGGGGAGAGCACCAGCTGGCTGGCAGGACACAAATACAAACTGTATTTAGTTACTAAGGTGTTATTGCAGCAATGGTACGTCCATGGATGACTAACATGTGGCTGTAGCTGCAGGTAGCCAGGCACACACCTGCCTGCCATGGGCTGTGTGCGGTTGCCAGTGACTAACAGCTCACCAGATAAGCTTAATCCAAAAATCCATGGAAATCAGCATTTCTTTCTGCTGCCTCCAGTGAGCTTTGCACTGCACTTGACGTGTGGCAGAGCCAGGCTCCGTCAGAATTAGTGGCCATATGTTGGAGGATTGATGCTCTGAGGAGTCACTGCCAGCCCAGTGGGACTCCCAGGGAGCAGCCTGGGGACCCCGGTGCCACGGGGCGATGGGATCCCGGAGCCGTGGGGCAATGGGATCCCGGTACCGTGGGGCAATGGGAGTCTCCCGGTGCCGTGGGGCAATGGGAGTCCCCCGGTACCGTGGGGCAATGGGAGTCTCCCGGTGCCGTGGGGTCCCTCAGGTGCCTGCTCAGCTCCCTTGTCCCCGAGTGCAGCCTGGCTGTGACCGGGCTGGGAGCCCTGCCAGAACCATCACAGCAGTGGCCCGATGTAACAAAACTGCCCGCAAACTTTTGTACTTTTCAGAGTGGCGGGCAGAAATCTGTTTCCACCGCTGTACAGAGTGAACGCTGCTGGGGGACACACGGACCCCCCGAGCTGTGCGGGACGGGGAGAGCTGGGGGGAAGCCCCTCACGATAGGGGGGAGCCCCTCGGGCGGTCCCCCGGAGGTGCCGGCGGCGCTCCCCGTGCAGATCAGAGGCAGAGCCGGAGCAGTGGCAGAGGCAGGAGGGGCGATGCCGCCGCGGTCCCGCCCTCGGCGCGCCGGGGAGGCTCCGCGGGCCCCAGAGACACCTCGGGCGGCAGGAGGAGGAGGAGGAGGAGGAGGAGGAGGAGCAGAGTCGGGTGCCAGCCCCGGCCCCAGCCCCGACCCGCCGCCTGCTGCTGCTCCTTCGGCCGCAGGTGAGACCGGCGCGGGGCGGGCGGTGCCCCCGGAGGGCTCGGGGGTCGCGCTGCGCGCACATGGAGAGTGGAAGGCTCGATAGGGTTCCCGTGTGATGGTTATTTACTGCCTCGTATGATACCAGTTGATACACTCGGGGGCAGCAAACAAATGTTGAGGCCCATAAGCGTTTCCTCCAAGTTTATTTTGCTGAGAAAAGGCGGGTTTGGTAAAGCTGCGAGTGTTGGCACATGAATGGAGAAGCTGGGGGATGTCTTTTGCACTCACAAGCCAAAAGCTGGCTTGTTTTTAGTGGAGGGTATTTCAGATCCTTTTGGGATTGCACTTTTTAAACACAATAGGGCTTTAAACTGCTGAAGGAGGTACTTAAATACCAGTGGGAGCTTGAAATATCAGCACAAGTTTGGTTTGTGTCTTTTTGCAGAAGTTGGTTTTACTGCTGAATAGCTAAGTTATTTCTATTCTCCAGGGGTTGTGTTATGGCATTTTTGTAACAAGTGTTAATAAAGGGGCTAAAACACTTTAAAACACGTACTACAGAGTTGGATCACTATTGCTGGGATCTGGTGTGTGGCAGGTGAAGGGTATCCTGGGACAGAGACATGTCATCACCAGCGACCCAGGATATGCTCAACTCTGTTAAGCCTGAGACTTGTGCCATTAGCAGTAAGGATGTGGTCAGCACAAGTGCTGAGAACTGGACAGAGACACTTTGAAACCGCTTTTGGACACGCAAAGTAAATATGCAGTGTAATGTTTGAATTTGGTTCAGCATAGAAGTCTGGTTTTTTCCCATCAGATATGTTATATTTTATTTGTATTACTGAGAGCCTGCCACGTTTGGTTGTGGCCCAAGACCATGCTAAGTGCTGTGCAAATACAAGGTAGGGAAAATCCACACAAATGCACTTAAAAACTTTGGATTTGAGTCTGAAGTGGTTGAGATTTATTATAGGAAATAAAGCATGTGGGCACTGCAATATGAAAATTTCTTCATAGTGGGAAATAGGCTGTAAATGTACCATTAGTGACCTTACTGCTTTCTGATGAGATTCATGATGGAAGGGTTTCGGAGGTGGTAGTTTTTTTGGTTTTTTGTTTTTTTGTTTAATGGAAAAGAAGGAGCTGGGAATTTCTAAAAGGAACTCACCTCAAAAAAAAAAAAAAAAAAAAAGATACAAACCTGTTTACTTTATGTCTAAAAAGGAAAATTACTATAAAGAAATTCTGTAGCTATTATACATTTTGAAGACTGATAAGAATAATTTCCAATACTATTTTTAAGCATTCAAGATTCCAGGAGAGCAAGAGAAAAATTCCAGAAAAATTAATGCTTGTGTCTGGGTAAAAAGTAAATAAATTTTTGGTTTGTTTAGGTATCCTGATCTTTCAAATGCCTAAGTCCTGATCTGGAAGGACTTTTATGATCCCCTGTAGGTGGAAAAAGAATGTGTTGAAGGTGTATAGTACAACCTGTGATACCATGCACTCATGGTATGTTTGTGGTTGGAGTGAAAAAAGTCTTCATTGCAGTGGGTGACATTAAAAACAGTATTTGCCAAAGTCACCACACCTTGACAGTTTTGTCCTATCCCGAAGTGTGGAACAGAAATGAGGGGTACATGGAATACCTCTCTGAAAACACTAAGCCAATAGGGATTTCTAATGACCATTACAGCGTGTTAGTTTTGCTTCCAGAAGCCATTAGTGACAGTAATTAGGGTCATTGGGGGTTCTTCTAAAGAAGCCATTAAACTTCTTAAGTTTTTCTTAATGAAGCTAATGTCAACACAATTAAGAGTAAACAAGGGAGAGACTTCATTCCCTAATGTATGTGGGTATGGCTTGTGCTAAGTGAAAGAGCAGGTGCTGGTTGAGACCTAATTAGATTAAGGTGTAAGCCTTGGGATGATGATCCCTGTTTTCTGCTAAGGTGGGTATTTGTGTAATTGCCAGTTGCTCTTAGTTTAAAAAAATAGAAAAACACAGTATTCCCTATGGAATTACAATGAAATCTCTAAATTGAAAACTTAGATTTATTCTTGTGTTACACCTTTGACTTGGGCTTAACGTTACAGAATTTATCAAAGTTACTTGTTCTGATTTTAATTTATTATGAAGTCTGTAAAATATAGGGTGAAATACTTCACCCAGTTATTGTTCCCTCAGTCTTATAGTTTGTGTTGAAGCTACGTTTTATCTTTCTGAAAAAGGATCCAGACTACCTGGATTTGATTCAGATTAATGCAATGCACTCAGCATCTGCAAAGCTTCTGTTGCAATGACACATTGCAAGTGTCATTTGGGATTTTTCTGTATAGAAATACGTGCGGTTTAGTGTAAATCCAGGAGTGTTTTATTGTCCTCGGCAGTCAGGCTGGGGCTGGGTGTGTAGGAGCAGCTGGGCAGGAATGGGATGTGCTGTGAGTGCCACGGGCTCCAGACCTTCCTGGAACCAACACGGCTTTTCAGACCTGCTTGAGCCAAAGATGTCTTTCCTTTCCTAATAAAACCGGTCAATATTACAGCTTTGAGGTGCAGTCTCTCTAAAGCACCATTTGAGGAGCTAACCCGTTCTTTCAAAGGCTGAATACCACATAAAGAGGGAGATAAGCTATTAAACTAGCACCTGCAAAGTTTCGAGATGGTTATTTGCTAAACTGACAGGATGTTACAGTGTGAAATAGTTTGTAAGCACTGTGCAGTTAAATCATCTTGTTTTACAATAAGGAAGTGCAACTTCTTCCTCAGGCCATTAGAGCAGACTTCGGGAAGAGTCTGTCTTGTGTTTGCAAAAATAATGAGTTCTATATTTTACATTTTGAGAATAGTAAATAGTAAGATATAGATCTTAGATTTTCTCCTACTCTTACAAAACCAGAAAGTTTTCATCTGGAAGAAAAAATTAGGAGTTTTACAACACTCTTATCTCATAAGAAAAATCATTATTGTTATCTCCAGAGACTTGGAAATTACTTTAAATAACTGTTATTGCTTGCCTTTCACCTCTAACAGCATCCTGTCTCCCTGAGGCTCCTCGAATAGGATCCAGGCTCTGTCTTGGGGTGCTGAGTAGCAGGGTAGTCCATACATGCAGCCAGGGGGACAGCCATACATTGGATCTTTCCTTTGGAAGTGTTTTTCTTTGCTTAATAATAACATATGATGTTTCCTGCACACCACGTGTAGGCTGTCTGCTGCTGAACATTACCTCTTCAGTTAATGAAATGAGGGTGTAAAAAAATGTAAAAAGTGGAATGATTTTGTCTAGGTTACTCAAAGATAAACAGCAGAATTTAAGTAGAACCTGGGGCTGCTGTTCCTTTTCTAACCTAAGCATTGCTTTAGCTCAGTACCTTGGAATTATGACGTGTGTCAAAATGTGCCCTTCAGACAGCTTTGTTTTGTGTAGTCTCTTTTCAGTAGCACTTTTATAAAAAAATAAACAAACCTCCTCCTCTGTACCAGCCAAGCTGCTGGTTTGATTTCTGCAGCACAGGTCCTGCAGTTTGGAGGCTTCAGGTCTGTTGGTGCTTTAAAGAAGAAACAAAGTCAAAGCTGGCTCTCCTGTGACGGCGGGGCTTTATACACTGCTTTTCCTAAGAGCTTCCTTCACAGCTAATGGCCAAAACGCTCCTCTCTTTACAGCTCTTCTGTAATCCCCTCTTCAGCATTAAAAGTAGCTTCTGGTCTGTAATTAGAGAGAAGGAACCAAGAGAGTGAGTTTAACTTCTGTCTCTGGGCACAAAACTAAGGTGAATAAGCAATGATTCTAGTTAAAAACAGAAATAACGAAGATTACCAAGGCTGCAAGTGGTGTAAGTCAGAGAAAGGGGACCAGTTTCTTTGAGCAGAGCTGGCTGTTTCTGGCAGCTCTCCCGTGTGTGCTGTTCACTGCAGGGTCTGTTTGCTCTGCTCAGGTTGCTGCTGGGGCCTTTGGCCAAGTGAAGGAGGTGATTCTCAGCCTCATTCCCCAGTATATTTGTCATGCAAGTTGTCATTCAGCCCACAACAAAAGCAATGTATTTTTTTTGACGTGTTCAGCAAGAATAGCAGTAAATTACGTTTACTTAAATAATGCTGCCTTGTAAATGGCTTGTTATAAAGCCACAAGTATAGTTTCAGAATCAATACAAAAATGCTTTAAAGGGCTTTCATAAAGTTGTCAGATCTTGAGACTGTATGCTTTATTTCAAGGAAGGAGACAGCATAGTAAGTGTTTTATAGATAGACAAAAGTAGAAATAGTTTACCTGTGATTTATAATTTTGGGTTTAGGTTGTTACTTTTCACTCCATGAGCTTTTATTATGACTAATAATGATAAGTTAGCTTGAATAAAATATTGCAGCAAGATGCTCTTCATTTATAATATAACTTGGGTTTTAGTCAATATTTACTTATTTGCTTAATGTCCAGTCTGGGACATTTTCTGCTTTATTTATATAAAAATATACATTCATTCTGGGGGTTCTTTGAAAGAACTAGTTGATCAAACCACTTAGCAGTGACTAATTCTTACTTGAATATTGTTTTCCATCCAAGTAACCGAAATGGTGAGGGAGCAAGCGTTCCACTAGGATGACAGAGCACATGGAAGGGCTGGGCAAGGAATGCAGCTGGGAAGGAGCTCACAAAGGTGGATTGGGACAGACTGAGCTCACTGAGGGTTATTCAAACTCAGCTGAAATTAATGGAAATGGGTGATAAAGCCCTGATCACTTAAATGCCAGATATTCTTAGCATCTGGCTCATGTCAGCCTGAGCCCATCTGCTGCGGTGTTTCAGGCAGGACCTGCTTGCTCAAATAAGCTCACACTTAGTCAGGCTGTGGGGAAAAACCCAGATTGGGTCAAGCTGAGAGAGGATGAACTTTGAACTGGAGCTTTTTCTGTGTGCTTTTCTCTTATTCCCTGTTATTGCTACTGAGCACACGTGGGAATAAATCAAAGAAGTCTCAGTAGCAGAAGAGAATTTTGGTTTCAATTTTCTCATTTGAAAGGAAGTTGGGGTGCCACTACCAGACCTTTTTCCCTCCTGATACTCTGCCTGACCTTCTGCTCCTCCTTTGCTGGCAGTTTCAGCTGTGAAGATGACAGGTATTTCAATGCCGAGGAAACAAATATTTATATATTTGTGAGATACATGTTTGTTGGAATAAACCGATATAACAGAAAATATGTTAAAATGTATCAGCAATGCCTACATACATTTAATCAGGAATTCAGTTTTGAGGTTAAAGTTTATCTTCTAGATTTTACATAGCTATGAGTCACTTTGTATTTTTGTGAGCAGATTGAGTTTTGGGGGTTTTGGGCCCAATTTTACTCTGTTATGAAGTATCCACTTTGTTAATGAATGTAATGATTTTTCTTTTTTTTCCAGTAAGGTCTTGTGTGTGTACAGGAGGGCACAGCCTCTTTTGGGAACATCCTGGGAGCTTTAAAACCCTTTCTGCTCACTTGTTATGTGGTAATGACTAATGATGTTTGGGTAAAAAAAGTGGTTTTTTCTCTAGAAATATATGACTTTGACTATGAGCACAGAAGTAAGAGCACTGAAGGCTGTGATTTTTGTGGTGCAGCTAAGCTGGCTCAAGGAGCAGCTGTCACTAAAAGCCAGCAGCTCTGTTCACTTCCTGCCCCTGTGCTTCCACCCCGCCCTGGAGTCAGCACTGGTGCTCATCTGACCTGCTGCAGAGATGATTCATGAAGCTAAATGGACAAAACGCAGATTTTT